TTTTTTTTTTTTTTTTAAGGTTAACTTTCTGTTCCATGCGCATTGATTTTGGGATATATAAAATTGAACTTAATTTTTATTTCATCTTATTCAAACAATCTCTTCAATTTGTTTCATGCTACTCTACGACCCGCGTTGATTTGAAAATGATTTACGACAAACTAATACACAATTGTTTATGTCGCGTAAGCTTGATATCGTTTGCTTGCCTTCTTATTAAAAGAGGGAGGTAATCACCACTATTGGAATAGATTTATGGTCGAAAGAAATTGAATTTTCAGCCGGTGATATGAATTATAAATTAAATAATCCATCAACTTTATATGATGTTAAATTGGAGCATACGACATCGACTTGTGTTCTAAGTAGTGCGTGTTTTGTTTTTCGTCTGCGATTTTTTAATTGTTTTCGGTGTGTTTCGGTGTTTTTGTGTGTTTAATCCGTGTGTTCTCTGTGCTTTTGCAAAAACTGATTGTTGCAGTTACGATATTTGCTTTCTTTTTCTGCAAATTTAATAAAAAAAACAAAAAACATAAAAGAAAAATAATATATTGAAAACAACTGTCTTTATTCTCAGCAGTTCCCAAAGTTTTTCAAGTGAGTGGTTGTTTCCCAATTTATTAAATAAGAGACAACAGTAAGGCATAATGGCCCCGGGGCCGCCTGATATAAACTCAAATAGATTTCATCTAATAGCAGACGTATCCCCTCAAAGAAAAAAAAATTAAGAATTCCGAATTTCCGGTTTTGCCAACCAGTAGCATCGTTCCTATCGACAAAAAATATATTGTGATTTCTGCAACTGATCCCTCCATAACAATTTCGCAATTCAGCCCTTTCGCTATTAAAAAAGCACTAGATTGCATTACAACGCATATAAACTCTATATCGATTTTACGCGATGGAAGTTTACTTGTCCTGGCTGAGAAACCGAGCGCAACCGAAAAGCTCATAAATCATTAGTTAATTTATGTGCTATATCCGCTAAACTTCATGACAAACTGAACTCGGTTAAA